TAAAGTAGTGTATGTCCATGTTTTTCTCTTGTGGCGGTGGAAGAATATTATTTATCAAGAAAAAAGTGGAAGGATGTTCTAGATACATCATTCTATTCTATAGCTAGCTAGGAGACTCCGAAAGAATGTGCCGGCGATCGAAATGGAAACACGCCGCCGCGATGTGTGCCGGCGATCACGGCATAAATACAGAGAGAGAGAGAGAGAGAGCACCTTGAGCCGCTGTAAGGCATTTTTTTTTTAATTTTCTTTTTGGACAACAAAGCAGTGAAGCAAGCTCACGCATGACTCCGTGTCCGTGTAACTGAACCACGACAGAGAAACACGCGTGCTGCGAAATGGGAGCAGAGCAGAGCAGAGCACTCTGACTGACTGGTGGGGCCTGCTCAGCAGCATGAGTATGCAAGCGCTAGTCCCCTGCTGCACTGCTGTGGAGTGTGGACGCTTCAGACTACTAGTTGTCAACGGCCTGGGGTGATTAACCAACAAACAAAAGTACCGCTCTCATATGTAATCATACTTAGTGTGCAGTGGGAGCGTGACTGACTATCACCTTTCATCATCATTGTCGCCACTGTTACTAAACTCCTCCTTTTTAAAAATAAATGTAGCTTCCATCGTTGGCGACGTGGTTCGTGAGTAGATAGATAGATAGATAGATAGATAGATAGATAGATAGATATACAAAGCACTGGCTATGAGCTCGTTGAACGTCAGGCACTCAGGCTTATTCATCAGAAACTGTCGATCCGTGATGATGGATTCATGGGCTGATTCGGCTTCCTTGGCCCGACATACTACTTGCTCGGCCCAATCTGCAGATAGTTTACATATATGGGCCAGAGGTTCGGCCGACGAATTGTGGGCCAGGCTTTCACAGCCCTGTCAGCAAATAATACGCTACGCCTAGACTAGTACAGGAACAAGTCCCATTACTGACTCCTCCAACTATGTTCGGAGTTCAATTTAATTTATCTAATCTACACACCATAAAAACACAGTTACGGAGACGTTTGAACAACTCGGACGAGTCGTGAATTATAGCTCAATTTATTAGATTTTTTTTTATCTTACGAGGTCAGTCTGTTTCTTCAGTTTCCAAGGTTTATTTAGAAACAATGTAGACTAGTTTTATCCCATAGAATTCGTTTTTTTATCATCTCTCTCTTCATTATCATTATGCCATGTCAGCATATTTATTAAATTGTTAGTAGCTTATTTTAATACATATGAAATCTTTACTAAGGGCATCCTCCCCAACTGCAGGCGTCGCAGCTAGCACACGTCAGTTTCATGCCGATGTGGAGGTCTGAGAACGTAGAAAGACAAAGTCGCTAGCGACGAAGAACTACCTAGTCGCTTTACTCGCATCCCAAGAATATGGGCCACAGTACGTGTCTTTCAAGTATCCAACCCTATCACATGAGAGCAATTATAGCAAGAGTACTCAAATCAGGGCCCCTATTTTCGATTTAGTTGCTCGCTACTTATTTTTGTTGGTCCAACTTTGTGCTTCTATTCCAGCGGTAGCACCCAAACAGGCCCTCAAATTCCTTCTCTTAGCCACTAACACATGGCACCTGCCTATCAATGAAACTCTCCATTCCTCTCTCTCTCTTCTTTTTCTTCGTGTACTATGGAATCCTCTAAAAGCATCCGATGGCTAGAATTGATTGGGCCGCGTCGTGCCGGCCCATTATTCGTGCTGTGCGTGGGCCGGCACTACGGGTCGACATGGCGGCCCAGGCACGGCACTACGACCGGGCCGTGCCAAACACGGGCATGATGGGAGCCGCGCAGGGCGTGCCTAGGCCATATGGCCAAGTATAGTTCGGGCCACCTGCAACAGTGCACCATCATCCTTTGATACATAGCCTTGGAACAGTGGCAGATGATGCTTTGTGGTAAGAGCAGCTGTTTGTCAAAAAAAAAAAGGAGCAGAAGGTAAGAAGCACGGCAACGTGTGTTTTTCAGCAGAGCAATGAGTAAAAAAATGATTTTGCATCGGTGCAATGAGTAAAAAAATCTTTCTAGGAAGCTTATACGCTTCCTTGTTCCTTGCTCTATCATGCCGGAGCACAGCGACGGAGGTAGCGGTTGGGCTCTAGCCCCCCTACCGATTCTGGGCACGTGGAGCCTCCCTAAGCTCTCTCTTAAAATTTTATGTATATATATATTATGTAGGAAAGGCTAAGGTTAAAAGAAGATAAAAAACCTCTATTTTTTTATTCAACCCCTCCTAAATTTTTTTCTGGCTTCGTCCCTGCCAGAGCATCATGATCATGGAACCAGCTAGGATAGAAACAAGAAGATCATATTTTGCCGAATATACTACTACTCCAAATATATCATATAATATGCCCTCGTTTCTCAGTGAGAATCAACAAGAATATCCCCTCTCTTTTTTCTCATATATTTATACAAAAGAAAGAATAAAGAAAAAAAGGAACCAGACGGAATATAATATTCCGATTCCGATATCGACGAGCTCTGGTCTCAACATTGGGTTGTCCGATAGTGTCCACCATCTCTCTCTCTCTAGAGCAGAGAGTGACAGGCCGCCGATCCATCAACGGCGGCGAATATTACAGAGCTCACCCTTCATCCCGTTCGTCCGTTCATCCAAGGACGATTCCATTCCACATCGTCTCTGTCGCTGTAGGTACGCTGCGCCTTCCTCCGTCTGAGAATAACAACAAGAGAGGATTTCACGGGGATCCGCGGTGAAAACTGACTGAAACCGACACTCTCTCACCCACACCGTCAATCCATTCTGATTAGGTAGGGTAGGTCCTCTTTGATTTTAACCGTTCATTCGTGCGCCAAGACCGGTCTAGCGAGGACGAGTTTGAGTTTGAATCCTGCGAAGAACTCACATGAGCTAGTATTAATTAATAATGTTGATCAAGGACTGAAGAGACGCTAATGGACCGAGTCAGTGACAGACACACAGACACAGAGACAGACATGTTCAAAGTGGCCGCGTGCTGAAGAAGAAGAATGCCGGCCTTGTTTAGATCCCATCAAAATTCCAAGTTTTTTCACTCTCTCTTCATCACATCAATTTTTGAACACATGTATGGAGCATTAAATGTAGGTAAAAAAAATAATTAATTGCACAGTTTGGTTGTAAATCACGAGACGAATCTTTTGAGCCTAGTTAGTCCATGATCGGACAAAGTTTGTCAAATACAAACGAAACGTACTACAGTGTCCGGATTATAAAAATTTACAATCTAAACAAGCCTGGAGAATATCCTCCTCCGGCTTGGCTGTGGATAAGAGCACGCAGGACCCAGTTGCCACTATACAAACATTTCCCTGACCGCCAACGACAGGGACGCCGGAGTTGTTAATGCCGGCAGCGTGCACCGCATGCATGCGTGCTGCTGCTGCTGCTGCTATGCTGCAGGCTTGCAGTACGGAGAGGAAGGAGGCCTGCATGCCAAGAACGCCCGCCGTCGGCAACGGTGAGGTTCTTGTCGTGCGTCGCCACTGTGCGAGGCTGCGGGTAACGGCTCACCTGCAGCCGCCGGCCGGCCGGAGCAGTCTCTCTCTTTTCTTGGTGCCGGTGCCGGCCGGCCAGACAGTTGGGGGCAGGGGAGGAACAGAGAAAGGCTGCTGCCGTGCCCGTCCTCTGCTTCGTCAGTTCAGTTTCAGTTTCCGTTCATTTTTTTCTATGGCCATGTTTAGTTCCCTTAAAATCCAGAATTTGGCACTATGCAAAAAGAAGATTCTCCATCATATCAAACTTGCGGTACATGCATGGAGTACTAAATGTTGACGAAATCAAAAACTTATTGTACAGTTTAGTTGTACTTTGCGAGACGAACATTTTGAGCCTAATTAGTCAACGATTGGACAATTATTACCAAATAAAAACAAAACGCTACAGTAGCTACAGTGTACCGACTGAATTCGGCGGCGCCGATTCAGTGGCCATCTAAACACGGCCTGTAAAAAGAAACTGACTTCGTATAGATACTGTTGGACACTGATTTTGGATCTCCTGCTACTCATTTTAGATTTAGGTGCCCATATGGGTCATCTGAGACAGTCTCAATGCTGGAATAGGAATATATCAGTAGGATTTTTCTTTCCTGCCATCCTTTCAGTTGGACCTGAATGATATGCATCTGGAAAGCCACAGAGATAGTATTACCAACCACATTACATACAACAGTAATAAAACCAAAAAAACATACTCTATAAGCATAACAAGAAATTGACCAGCATGTGCTTGCAACTATTCAACTTAACTGTTCATTCTGCAACAAACAGCAAAAATATTTTATATTAGAAAAACCACAATCAGAAATTGGCTACCATGTATACTTGCAACAATTCAACATTTCAACTTAACTGTTCATTGCGCGACAACAGCGAAAAACATTTTATTCCCCAAGAAATAGCACAATCAGAGATTGAGTAGCATGTACTTGCAACAACTCAACCTAACTGTTCATTCCACGACAAACAGCTGAAAACATTTTCTTAAAAAATAGCACAACCAGAAATTGAGTACCATGCACTTGCAACTGTTCAACTTAAATGTCCATTCCAGGACCAACAGCAAAAAAAGTTTTATTAAAAAGGTAGCATAATCAGAAATTGACTGCAACTATTCAACTTAACTGTTCAATCCGACGAACAGCAAAAACACTTTATTCAAAGAAAAGAAGACGACGACGACGATAATCGACAAGAACAGGTATGGGTAAACTCTCTCAGGGCGAAAATTGTAGCTCTGCCCAAAGCATGGATTAGCAAGCCGCAAAACTGTAACTAGTATCATCTCTTTGGGATGTACAAACCCGACGACGACGCACCATCAGTTTGATCTCGAGCGCTCAAGGCCCGATTTTCCTCACTCACTGTATGTAACTATGATTGTGTACAGACAGCTACACTACTCTCAGTTTCCTCCTGATTCCTGAAGCTGCAATTGGTGGCCTCTCTGAACACACACTGATGCAACAGCAGCAGAAGCAGCAGCCTCATCATTTCCAGCCATAGCTCTCGGACCGGCCATCTTCCTCCTCGCAGCTGACGGTGGCCGCTGACGAGACGGCGATTCCTGAGGTGGAGAAGTGGAGGGGGCCATGGGGAGACCCAGACTGCGAGCTGCTTTGCTCCTGGGGAATCCAGAGCCCTCCCACGAGCACAATCGGCTGGCTCACCACGCCGGATCCAGGCGCCCTCCGGTTGTGCAGCCGGTATTTCTGAAGAAACATCAGAATCAGAGAATTCATGTCAGCGATCCTCACAACAAACAAGGGCAATGAATCTTCATCTCCCTGAGATGAGATGGATGAATGTCAAGGGGGGCTGCTGGATTGCTAATGTTAACCTGAAGATGGCTTTTCACTTCGTCGTTTGTCAGGCCATCCACCTTCATCAGCTCCCTGATTTGCTTTGGGGTGGCAACTGCAGACACGGCATGAATGAACGAACTCATTAATTCCAAGTATATGTTTCTAATATGGCAAGCAATTAGGCAAGAACATGCTGGTGGCCCAAAATTCGCAAGAAAAATCGTGAATTTGGTATCTGAAGAAGGCTCACCTTGGGGGCCACCGAGTTGATTCAAGACGGCGACGAACTGGCGATGCAGCTCCGTCGACCAGCAGCGCCGAACCTTCCTTGCCTGCTGCTGCTGCTGCTGCTGAGCTGTCTGCTGCTGCGATTGGGACTGGAGGCCAAGCGCAGGGGCAGCTGGCGCCATGGCGGCCGCCCTCGCCGCTGCCTGCGCAAACCCCACCACCTGGCGCCGGCTCTCCTCGCCGGCGCTCTTGGCCGCCGGCGGCGACAGCAAGGACAGATCCGGCATCCCGACGAGCGCAGCCTTGTCGTCCGTTCTCAAGCAGAGCGGCGCGAACGCCGGCGCGCCGGAGCCCACAACAGCCTTGAACGGCAGGAGAGCGCCGGCGGCGGCGCCGCGAGACTTGGCCTCCGGCGAACTCTTCCCCCTGTCTTGTTTCTGCGATCGCAAAGCTCTAAACTTTTAGGCCACCGACAATCGAGCACCCGACACCCCCCCAGATCCTGTCCCGGGTGAGCATTCAAGTCGCTGCACCAGCGATCGAATCGTGCCGTACCTCTGATTCCGCGTCCTCCCGGCCGGAATCGCCCGTCCAGAGCTGCGCCGTGCTCATCCACTTGCTCTTGTCCCCGGCGGCGCCGTCCTCGTCCTCCTCCGCCGCCGCAGCCGCAGCCGCCAGGCTGCGATCACTCCTCCGCGTCGTCTTCTTCCCCGCCTCCTCCTTCATGACATCAATCACTGCGCACACGCCACCGCATCGCCGCGTAAAAAAAACCGCCCCCCCAAAATGGAAAGGAAGCAAAAGGAAAATGAATCACAGGTGGGGAAAAAAGGGGCTCACCGTCGGCGAGGAGCCGCGCGCAGAGCGGGAGCTCCCGCTTGAACATCTCGATCTTGCCCCGCTCCTCCTCGAGGCGGCGGATGCAGGCGTCCATGTCCGGCGCCGGCGCGTCGTCCTTGCTCTGCCTCACGGCCTTGGAGGCGAAGTGCCTCAGATCCAAGCTCAAATCGGCGCCCATCCCGATCTCCACGACGTCGAGCCCCATCGTTGAGATGAATCTGTCTACGGTGTCCTGTGTGCCGGAAGGAAGAAGTGCGCGGGCGGCGGATGGGAACGGAGGGAGGTCGTGGAAGGTGAGCTCCATTTATAGGGGAGCCCGAGCAGGGGAGGAAAAACCTGAAGATGGAGTGGTAGAATCTCCGAATCAACAAGGACGAGTTTTCACGTCCATTGGGATATTTGCAGGAAAACCCCTTATGTTTGTAGTAATTTTTATTTTAGTGCTATATATACTCTTATGTGTAATAATACAAAAGGTTTGGCTAACATTTGATAAAATAGTCCAATGCATCTAGCCCGTTAGCGGGTTTTCGGGTTCGGTTTCACCTGAAAAAAATGGGTCAGCGATTGTTTCTCTATCAGTCATAATTAAAGCATACGACAAAACTTTCGTCATCATTTTGGAAAAAATGACCTATTATGAATTTAGTATTCCCTCCGTTCAAATTATAAGTCATTTTGACTTTTTGGTACATCAAAATTACTAATACATAGTAAATTCGATGTACCAAAAAAGTTAAAGTGACTTATAATTTGGAACAGATAGAGTACATTATTTGTCATAGAGGAAGACCCTTTGTGGCCCTATTCGGCTGGCTGGAAAAACGGCTGATGTTGATTTGTTGTGAGAGAAAAACACTGTTATTTTGCTGAAAAGGTACAGCTGATAAGTTCAAGCGAACAGGACCTACATTTGTAGGATATTTTCAATTTAGTGCTATATTTGCTCTTATGTGTAATAAAGGTTGGCTACCAATTAGTAAACAAGTCTCATGACATTCTAGCTTCGCTTTGGGCTCGGTTTCATCTCAAAATCTGGATCAAGCTTGGTTCTTTTTTTACTCCTAATGAAAGCCTACAACAAAGCTTCTGTCATCATTTTAGAAAAAAATAACCTTTTACAGATTTAGTACATTATTTGTCGTATAAGGAGACCCCTTGTGTTTGTAGGATATGTTTAATTTAGTACTATATTTCCTCTTGTAATAAAGGTTTTGCCAACATTTCATAACACAAGCCTTAAGATGTTTTAGCCAGTTTTCAGGCTCGGTTTCATCTCAAAACCTGGATCAAGCTTGGTTCTTTTTTACTACTAATAAAAACCTACGACGAAGCTTCTGTCATTGTTTTGGGAAAAAAAACTTTTATAGATATAGTACATTATTTGTTGTATAGGAAAACCCCTTGTGTTTGTAGGATATTTCAATTTAGTACTAAATCTGCTCTTGTAATAAAGTTTTGGCTAACATTTCATAAACAAAGCCCAATGGCGTATTAACCTGTTTTCGGGCTCGGTTTCATCTCAAAACCTGGATCAAATTTGGTTCTTTTTACTCATAATAAAAACCTGCGATGAAGTTTTGTCATCATTTTGGAAAAAACAATCTTTTATAGATTTAGTACATTATATGTCTTATAGGAAAACCCCTTGTGTTTCTAGGGTATTTTAAATTTAGTATTATATTTTCTCTTGTAATTTAGGTTTAGCTAACATTTTATAAACAAGTCCAATAACGTATTAGCCAGTTCTCAGGTTTAGTTTTGCCTAAAAACTGGGCCAAGTTAGTTCCTTTTTACTCCTATTGAAATCCTAAAAGCTTTTGTAAGTGTTTTGGAAAATTAATGATCTTTTACATATTTAGTACATTATTTGTCATATAGAAAGACCCTTTGTGTTTCTAGGATACTAAGGTTTGGCTAACATTATTTCAGGAACAAGTCCCATGACATATTAGCCAGCTTTTGGGCCGATTTTTCTACAAAAACTAGATCATGTTTGATTTGTTTACTCCTAATAAAGATCTACGACAAAGCTTCTGTCATCGTACTGGAAAAATTACCTGGCCTTTAATAACTTTAGTACATTAATTACTCAACAAAATTACTTAGATTGTAACTTTCTACTCAAGGAACCTTGTAAGGCCCCTTCTAGAAGGTCTAATTTCTTATTATTTTTTATAACTAGTTTAGTTGCTATAGATTTTGGAAAATAAATAAAAAGATCTCAAGTGTCGAAGGGGAAATGATTTTAGGAACTAGTTTATTTGGAAAAAATATGTGGCCTTTTACAAATTTAGTACATCAATTACTCTACAAGTTACTTAGATTCTAAACTTTCTACTCAAGGAACCTTGTATGGCCCCTTCTACAAGGTCTAATTTCTCATTATTTTTTTATAAACTGGTTTAGTTGTTATAGATTTTGTAAAATAAATAAAAAGATCTCAAATCTAGAAGGGGAAATTATTTTAGGAACTAGTTTAATTCGTACATATCTTAGAAAATAAAAATATTTCAAATCAAGAAGGGCAAATTTAATGTGACCATATTTAGTTCATGTTTGGTAGAGCTCATTCTGCTCCTGATTCTTAGTGACAAGTGATTTGTTCTCTAAGTTATTCTCTATGTGAAGTTATTTTATGGCTAAAAGTGATTCTCTAGAATAAATTCTTTGAATAAAATGATTATATACGTGGAGTGAACCAGAAGAAACTATTTTTTCCAGTTCCTAGCCTCCTAGTTCATTCATAGAATCACTTCTTAACCTGAAAACGGCTCATGAATGAAGCTCTGCCAAGTAGGCCCTTAGGGTACTGCTAATGACTTGTGTAAAACTATAGGATGAGATAGAGGAGTAAACATCTACATTTTTTTAGCAAAACAAAAACCGATCTTGGATGACTTGTTGAATGCATTTGAGGTAATTGATAGTGAAATCGTATTTAGTTGCGTATATTATATGCATGGTCAGAAATCAAAATATTAATTAGTACATATTGAATTACATCGATTGCTCTTCTATTTTTAACTAGAACAAATATTTCTTCATATATACACCTCTGAGAATGATTTTACCATTTGTCTTTTGTATTGGTTTGTCAGTATATTTTATTCTTTGAAAGAACTGATGAGTATTTGTCGTACATACTAGCTGGATTTAACACACACAAGAATGTGATACTCAATGTTGTGGCCTCGAGGCATCCATTGTCTGATTTTGCATCATAATACTCCCTTGATCTATAATATATGCCATTATATTATGTATGCTAATGATAAAACTTAAGAGTCAATGAAGTTTTGACACTACTAAATCTCGTCAAAAGTACTTCGAAATATATTATTCGTTTTTCTTGAACTATTATATTCCTTAAAGATCAAAGGTAATTTTATTGTGGGCTAGAGAGATGATAAGATGTTTGAAAATTGTATTGTCTGAGCACTTATTAGACACATGTCCATGGCCTGGCCACCACTTTGCTTAGGCCTATATATCTTGAAGTGAGCTAATAAATATTGCTTGCTGCTCTCTCAAGATTAAGCTCTAACATGCATAAACCCAAGCACTCAAGCATTGCCTAGACAAGCTAGTTTGGCATATATAACAACTGTTATTAATCAAACATACTTTTTTTTGAATCAGGGATTTCATTACTCATTAGACGCAGCCAAATCGTTGGTCACCAAATCCTCGACAAAGCAAGGTACATCTCCCCAAGTGATTTGATCATCACTGGGATATTTACAACCAAACGCTGCTAGCGCATCAGCAACTTTATTACATGATCTAGGACACACTTCCATTCTAAATTGTACAAACTCTGACATTAACAGGAGTCTAAGCTCAGTGATTACCCTGCCCAATGCGGAGAGTCTGTACTCGTCTCCCTCCACAACATTATTGACTAATACAGCATCAATCTCCACCACAATGTAGTTGTGTTTTGTGCTATTCGTTTAATATTTTACTATTTGTGTTAAAACTAAAGGGATATTCACCTTTTCTTGTTCCTTTGAGCTCCGAATATCCAGGTCAAGCCCAAGTATCTTTTTGGTATATAGTCTAAACTATTCTATGGCTGGCTCAAAGCTCAAAACTCGAATTGACACTCGAGAAACGATTTGACATTCATCGCAGACATCGTGCAAAATTGGAATATACCCGTTAGCTTTTGCAAGCAAAGGAAATGCATGATGCATGGTTGAAAAAGCCTTCACGACAAAAAGGACACCATAGATAGATAGATATAATAAATATAGCATGCCCCCTTCGAATATGGATAGGAATTGGCTGCCTCTCATTTGTCTTATTAGGTCAGTGACATCATTTCAACATGGCATATACATATGGGGCTGGAATATCCATCTAGGAGATAAGTTTTGTTAGGGAATTGCCAGCAAATTGAGCCCACATTTGTTTTTTATAGGGCAGCTGCGTGTTGCGCGTGGTGTCATCCCCACTAACTAGTAGAGAAAGTATAATAAGGGGCTACAAACAGGCTGAACGGTGAGGTAGAGGGGAGAGGGAAGGAGAAAGAAGAGAAGCGGGCTGTAAGCTGACAGCCGGTTTGAACACAAGAACCAAAAAACGCCGTGAGAGAGATAGATGGGCCATGTATTAGTAGTGAAGACGTAACTACTATATAAGTGGGCTGAGAGGTAGGTTGTAAGGATTTATACAGCCAGCAGCCGGCTGTATTATTAGCCTTGCTCTATATGTTTCCTAAAATTCAAAGGCCCGGTATACTCTTTTTTGAACGCATGAATTTCATATAAATTGTATTCAAATTTCATAGAAAAAACACATGAATTTCACATAAATTGTATTAAATTTCATAGAAAAACACAGAAAACATGAAACTTTTCGTTACAAAGGGGCCTAATACGACTTCCTGAACAAATTAAACCAATACACTGTATGTTTAACTGGATCCAATAATGGTAAAATTGACTCAAAGAATAATATTTATGTATAAAATCTGCGTTTAAATTCGCATCGAATTTCTCTTTGAAAAAGCAAAAAGGAAAGGATTTCCTTGAAAAAGCAAAAAAAAAAAAAAAGGAATTCCCATGTAAAAAGAGACGTACACAGTGGATAAAAAACCGGTTGGGTAATAATAAATAAAAGTAGAAAGAGAGAGAAGCCCAGCTGTCCAATTCCATATCCAAAGCAATGCCATCCTTGGTGAGCAGGCGACAGTAGAAG